AGTCTCGCTCAGTCACCCAGGCTGGAATGAAGTGGCGCCATCTCGGCTCACTGCAACCTCCCGGGTTCAAGCAATTCTCCTGCCTCAGCCTCCTGAGTAGCTGGGATAACAGGCACGTGCCACCACGCTGGCTACTTTTTGTACTTTTAGTAGAGACGGGGTTTCACCATGTTGATCAGGCTGGTCTACGAACTCCTGACATCTCATGTCTCAATGCTCTGTTCACCATGGCAGTGGTTTCCAAGGTGTGGTCTCCAGATCAACAACCTCAGCATCACCTGGGACCTTGCCAGCAATGCCCACCTTCGATCCACTGAATCAAATTCTGTGCTAACGGAGCTCAACAACATGTTACAACATGCCTTCCAGGTGATTCTGATGCATGCTCACTTCTGAGAGCCATTCCAAAGAAGTATCTGCTACATATTATATACCATATGCCCCGCCCCCACACCCTCAAGCTTTTTTTGTTCCCAGGCGAAGGGTTGAAGGGGTTCAGTATCGGGTCTACAGCACACTGAGATTTATGTATCATTTATTTGAGACAGAGTCTCGCTTTGTTGCCCAGGTTGGAGTGCAGTGGCCCATCTCAGCTCACTGCAACCTCCACCTCCCAGGTTCAAGCATTGTCCTGCCTCAGCCTCCTGAGTAGCTGGGATTACAGGCATGCACCACCACATCTGGCTAATCATTGTATTTTTAGTAGAGACAGGGTTTCACCGTGTTGGACAGGCTAGTCTCGAACTCCTGGCCTCAAGTGATCCGCCCACCTTGGCCTCCCAAAGTGTTGGGATTACAGGCGTGAGCCACCGTGCCTGGCCACACTGAGACTTTTTTTTTGTTTTTCAGACTTTTTTTTTTTTTTTTTTAAACTATGTTGCCCAGGCTGGAGTGCAATGGTGTGATCTCTACTCACCATAGCCTTTGTCCTCCAGGTTCAAGCGATTCTCCTGCCTCAGCCTCCCGAGTAGCTGGAATTACAGGCATGCACCTACCACGCCCAGCTAATTTTGTATTTTTAGTAGAGATGAGGTTTCTCCATGTTGGTCAGGCTGGTCCCCAACTCCTGACTTCAGGTGATCCGCCCGCCTCGGCCTCCCAAAGTCACACTGAGGTATTTTAGAGGGAGATCAGTCTATGGAACAAACGCTGGCATGGGGTTGGTGGCCTGGGTGTGCTGTCTGGCCAATTTTGTGCGTGGAGTAAGCAGTGGGTAGAGGCTCTGGGTAACAGGAAACTATGTCAGGCTCTGCCCTCCATGTCCCACCCTCTCCCCCAACAAAGAACAGCCAGGAACTGAGAGGAGGCTCTTCTCCACACCATCCCACTACTTGCCTCCCTCACCTTCTCTGAGCCCTGGGTATTGGTGTTGGAAACTTTACAATGGATATCCTGAAAGGCAGGTGGCCTGTGGAAGGAAGGCAGAGGAGAGGGCCCACAAAATGCAAAGGTGTCTCTGCAACCCTGCTGAAGATCTTTCTCTTTCTTTTCTTTCTCTTTTTTTCTTTCTTTTCTCCTTCTTTTCTCTCTCTCTCTCCTTCCTTCTTCCCTTCTTTCTTTCTGACAGAGTTTCGCTCTTGTTGCCCAGGCTGGAGCGCAACGGCCGATCTCAGCTCACCGCAACTTTTGCCACCAGGGTTCAAGCGATTCTCCTGCCTCAGCCTCCCGAACAGCTGGGATTTCAGGCATGCACCACCACGCCCAGCTATTTTTGTTTTTCAGTAGAGACGGGGTTTCTTCATGTTGGTCAGCCTGGTCTTGAACTCCCAACCTCAGGTGATGTGCCCGCCTTGGCCTCCCAAAATGCTAGGATTGCAGGCATGAGCCACCGCACCCAGCCGAAGATTTTTCACTTTATCCTGAATGGAAGACAGTATCTGAGGTCGAGAAATAATAGAAATTGATTTTCACTTTAGCAATATTCCTGGCAACTGCACGGAAAATGGAATGGCACAGAAACTGGAGTCTTACGAGCAGCTATCTCATTAGTTTGGGTGGGTAATTAAAGGCTGTGAGCACAGATCTAACAGAATGTGGATTGGGATATGCAGGGGAGGGTGGGGTTGGGGGAAGACAGATTCCATTTGAACTTGGTGAGTTATACGTGCAGCACAAAAATAACGGGCATGGAAGTCCTGGAATTATTTATCAAGAAGGTCGCACAGGTGAGTGACATCCCCTTCTTCCCTGTTCCCCAAGGCGCCTGGACTTTGGAGTCAGTCAGTCTTGGGTTCCAGCCTCCCGCTAGGACGCAATTTCTTGAGAGCAGGATTCAATCTCTTGCTCACGGCTAGATCCCAAGCGCCTAGAATAGTTTCTGGCACATAGTAGGCACTCAGTAAAAATTTGCCAAATGAATCATTGAATACATGGTCACACTCCATGTCTCATTTCCTCAGCTGTAAACACAATGAAATAACCTAGCCGTGAACTTGGCGCACAGTAGGCGCTCAACAAGTTGTATTTTTTCCTCCCCTTGCAGTAGACCGAGGTCCCTAGGCAATCGTGGGAAAAAAAAAGGGGGTTTCTCTACCCTGTGTGGTCTGCACCTCGCTTCGCCCCGGCAGCCCTCGCTGGGTCGCGGGGAGCACGTGGGCCGGACAGGCTAGGTGGGAGGGGAGGAGAGACAGGGGGCGGCGGCCGGCGGCTCGCGCGGAGACTGTCTCCCAGGCTTACGTAAGGCGCGAGTCCCGCGCTGCCGGCCCGGGCTCGGAGACTCGGCGGGCGGAGGCGGCGCCGCCCTGCGGGAAACGGGCTGGAAGCTTCTCAGAGCGCTGCCTCCAGCCAAGGTGTGTGTTTTATTTGATTGCTTTTGGAGGCGAGGCGCGGGGCTCGGGCTCGTCGCGCGCCCCACGGCCCGGGAGCGCATCAGCCAACCCCGGGCGGAGGTGGGCCCCTCCGAGCGCGCGCAGGCGGCGGGCAGCGGCGACCGCTGAGACTCCGGGGGATGTGACAGCCGCGGGGAGGGACCGAGACGCCGACCACACGTTGCACACGTGCGAGTACAGGGCAGGGGCTCAGCCTCTAGGCCGCTCGGTGCGTGGGGCGGCGGGGGCAGGCTTTGAATGACCCCCTTGAGCCAGCTTCCTCGGCCCGACGGAGACTGGCTGGGGGATGCCCGGCCGCCCGACTCCCTTCTCGGACGCGGCGTGGGGCGCGAGTTGGAGGAAAGGATGGAGGTGGGACTGATCGGGCCGACCTCTGACCTCTGGAGGCCGAGCCGGCAGGGCGGGGCACCGGCGCGCTCCAGCAGCTCTGCGTGGGGGCGAGGAGGTGGAGGAGGGCCAGGAGGTGGAGGAGGGCGGGGAGGTGTAGCGTGGCGCTCACTCCGCCTGCGAGTCGGTCCCGGCGCAGGGCTGAGGGGAGGGGTTGTCTTAAAAGTCTCTCCTTCCCCCTGTAGGGGCGGCCGGCGAGTCCCAGTGCGAGCGGAGGGTGCCAGAGGTAGGGGGCCGAGAAACAAACTTCCCGGGGTTCCCTCCGGGGCTGCGGTCTGGGCTGCGCGTTTGGCCGCCCCCCTCCTCGCGAAGGCAATGGCTTCCAAACTCCTGCGCGCGGTCATCCTTGGGCCGCCCGGCTCGGGCAAGGGCACCGTGTGCCAGAGGATCGCCCAGAACTTTGGTCTCCAGCATCTCTCCAGCGGCCACTTCTTGCGGGAGAACATCAAGGCCAACACCGGTGAGGGGCTGCGGGGACGAGGGCCGGGAGCGAGCCGCGTTGGGCTGGGGTGAGGCCCTGGAGGGGCCGGGTCTCCCGGATTGCTGTGCCCTTCCCCCGCCCGCATGTGGTCGTGCAGGCTTGTACGTGCCGGGGCGCATGCAGCTGGCGGCCCGCGGCCTCGCGGCTTAACCGCGCCCGGGGAGGAGGCCAAGGCTCGCGGGGCGGCCGGTGGGAGGTGCCCGCGGCTCCTCTCTCCACCGCTCCTCCTGCCGCAAGGAAAAGCCCGGGCCACCGAGCCGAGGGAGGGTCGAGAACCACGCAGCGAAAAACCCCGAGCTTCCCTCTCACGCTGCCTCCTCAAGGCAGAGCCGACCCGGTACCCCTTAACCCCGGCCTCCCTGGCCTCCTTCCCCGAGTCCTTAGAGAGCCGCGCGCCCCCTCCCGCGGGAACCCCGAGGCGGAGCGCCGCCCACCTGTGGCAGTCAGGCGGGGCTGCGCGCCGGGGAACCTGTGGCGCCGTGGGGCTCGCAGCCACGCGCTTCTCCAGCCCCTCCACGCAGCCTCGGGCCTCGGGGCAGAGCTCTGGGTGGCTTTGAAAGGCCTGTCTGTTCGCTGCCGCCTTCTAAGGTAAACTCTTCCCAACAATTCCCCCTCCTCTCCAAGCCGCCGGGCCTGGAGATGTGGAGACTCGTCGGAGACTCGTTCTGATAAATTACATTTTGAATGCAGCTTTCCTGGAAATGGCTTCTGGAGATGCCTCCTTTGGCTGACGGTGAACTTGGGGATATAGATCGCCTGATTTCTTAGTCTGACAGTACTGAATGCCTCCCTTTCCCCCTCTCCTCCCACTCCACGTTCACACCGGTTCCCAATGAATTGGCATTCAAAGGTGAGAGGTAGCGGCTGTGCTGCTGCGAGGCTCTTAACCATTCTGGGATGGAAATGTTGGTAATTAGCAACTCCTTTATGAAAAGTTGTTCTTGGCAGCGGGGGTCCTTTTCTGTGGCTGCAGTTCTCAAGGGTGTCCGGGGTGGTTATTGCCCATCATGCACTAATTATCCGAGCATCTGCATTTCAGAAGCACAGATTGGTTTGGAAAGGAAGGTGGAGGGTGGTGTCGGAAAACAAAAGGAAAGCTTAAAAGCAAGGCATTAAGAAGTATCTCCAGAGTGTTATTTCTTACTTCTTAAGCACGTTGAAAAAAGCTGGCTTTTACAGAAAACTCTTCCCCCACCCCCATGTCTCAGAAGGAAGAATTATGTGTACCAAATTGCACTTGAGTTTTCTTTTGTGGGTATTGTTACCTCAAGTGCGCCTATTTTGATTTTAATACATTCAACTGCATTTTATTCTTGGAATACTGCCTTTGGAATGCGGTTTGAGGGGAGAGCAGCCTAGAGGGAAGGCTGGCTCTCATCCTAAGGGATTTGTGTTTAGGTTGGGCTTCTTGGTTAGGAGGATGGAGTCAGTGAAGGAAGACAGCGAGAAGAGATGAGCCCATTCCGTAATTCCCTGTACCTGACTTGGCGACTTGTTTCCTTCTGGCATAAAGGGCTTCACACTGTCCATCTTGGGACTGGACTGTAGCCCTTTACATTTTTAAAGACAGTGATGCGAAGTGGCTTATTTCTGCACTTTCTTAGGGGCTTTGAAAATTTTCCACTTGTTCTTTCCCTTGTTCTCTTTTTTTTTTTTTTTAATTTCAACTTTCCTCTGTTCTAAATTTTAGTTTCCATTCTCTTTCAAACGCCTTCATTTCCTCCCCAGTGTTCCCTCCTGGGAAGTGACCATGCAATGTTTAGATTTCCTTTTTTCTGTTGGGAATCAAGCAGTTTTCGCATAAGCCAATTTAAAAAACAAAAACTTCATCAAAGAAAGAAGAAAAATAAAGGACAGCAATTTGTTTTGAAAGTGGCTTGTTTCTAGTGAACTTTTGGGTTATCGGATTATTTTTCACTCTCAGAAGGTCTGAGAATCTTACAGGCCCATTGCCTGGTAAATAAAACATTCCACAGTATTTATTTTTCTGTTACCTGCTGTTTACTTTTAGCGAATTTCCTAGTGGGAAGCACAACTACCCTTCTGTATTTACCCTTTATAATGGAAGGTTCGAAGGAGATGATGAAGCACAACAAAAACCCAGGAAATAGAACCGTGTAGGAATTTGAATTGGAAAGTAGCTCCGGCCATCTGCTCCAGCCTGGATTTGGGCACACTTGTCTACATGGCTTTCTTCCTCCTGCCGTCTGGTGAAAAGCTGCTTTCAGGAAAGGGCTACTCTGATGTCATTGCTTCTTGGAAGTCTTCCCTCACCTGCTCTGGCAGAATTCTCTTTCCTCTGTGTATGTCTTTTTTTTTTTTCTTTGAAACAGAGTCTTGTTCTCTTGCCCAGGCCAGAGTGCAGTGGCGCTATTTTGGCTTGCTGCAACCTTCGCCTCACTGGCTCGAGAGATTCTCTTGCTACAGCCTACCAAGTGGCTGGGATTACAGGCATCTGCCTCCGCGCCTGGATAATTTTTGTATTTTTCGTAGAAATGAGTTTCACCATCTCTGCGAAGTTTCAAGGCCAGGCTGGTCTCCGGCTTGGGACCTCAGGTGATCCACTTTCCTTGGCCTCCCAAAGTGCTGGGATTGCAGACTGCAGACGTGAGCCACCACGCCCAGCCTCCTCTGCACATATCCTTGTTCATTCTAATGTTGCAGTCACATATCATACAGTGTAAAAATGCCTGTCTCTCAACCACTAAGATATCTGCTGAGTGGCTGCTGTGCATCAGTGTTCTAGGTACTGGGCAATAGCATTGTTTAAGATAATCTTGTACCTCTTTTATTTTTATTATTATTATTTATAGAGATGGAGTTTTGCTTTGGTGCCCAGGCTAGTCTCAAACTCCTGGCTCAGTCTCCCAAAATGTTGGGATTAATTACAGGTGTGAGCCACCGCACCTGGCCCGTTCTTGGGCCTTTTGCTGTCCTTCCTACCTACACCATGGTCCAGTTTCCACTCTGAAAGTTGGAGGACAGGGATCAGGCAAAGTACCTAATGCATAAAAGGAGTTTACCAAGTCTGTGTTAAAGACCTGCATCACAAATTCTGGACAGTACATCTTACTCCAGAAGTCAACCTATAGCATAGAGTCCATTTTGTTTGATTAGCTCTGATTTATGGTAAAAGTTTGTACTTAATATGGATCTGAGATTAGCTTCCTGATAGCTGTTATCCATTGGCCCTTCCTGTAGTGCCTAGAGTGGTGCAGGGGGAGGCTTATCAGATACCTCATTTGAAGACTCACCCCCATATTCTTTCGCTCAGATTTTCTTTAGCACGCCGCAAGAGTAAATAGAAGGGAGAGTTCTCTTAGATTGCCAGGAGTTGGGTCTTACACTCTGTCATAAGGAATAAGGTAGCTTTTCTGTGTGTGTGTATGAGCATGCACATGTATGTATGAGTACATACCCAGGACTGGCACTCTGGAGTGAGTCCTGTTACAAATTCTGATATTTAATTATAAATTGTTTTATTGGGTCATATTTAAAGGATATGCAAATCCTGTTTTAAAGGTTGGACAAATAGTGATATTTTTAAAAATCACATTACACTGGATCTACTGTCTCAAGTGCAGAAAAACTGGCAAATCTCCATTTGGAAGCATCTTGGACTTGAGTGAGATAAAAGGTGTTCAGGAACAAACCTGTTTCTGCTCGCTCGCTCTCTATATATTTTTGAGACAGAGTCTTCCTCTGTCGCCCCAGGCTGGAGTGCAGTGGTTCGATCTTGGCTCACCACAACCTCTGCCTCCCAGATTCAAGTGATTTTGCCTCAGCCTCTGGAGTAGCTGGGACTACAGGTGCTCACCACCACGCCTGGCTAATTTTTGTATTTTTAGTAGAGACAGAGTTTCACCATGTCAGCCAGGCTGGTCTCGAACTCCTGACCTCATGATACGCCCACTTCGGCCTCCCAGTGTGCTGGGATTACAGGAGTAAGCCACCAAGCCCGGCCTCTGCTCTCAATATTAACTGCAGCTCTTGCTGGGATTTTGCAGCTGGGAATAGCATTTCAAGTTAGTCTATGGGCTGAGCCTCTTTTTGAAAAGATGGCCTAGTTCAGAGGGCTCAGGGTTTTGGTGCTTATTAAGTATAAATGTGTGTCTTATGTAAGAGGGAAAACTTCTGAGAACTGGAAGGTGGGGACATTGTATTAGAGAGACTTGAGAGCCAGAGTTCAACAATGTATCTAAAACAGGTTTCAATAGTTATCCCTTTTTATAGATCATAGAGAGTCTTGGCTTATTACTGGGTTTCTAGAGTATGTTCTATTCCATTTCCCCTTAGCTTGGTGAGATTCAGGATATAGCACAGGTCAAGCGAGGGTCTGACTGGTTTGGAGACCTCTACAGTCAAAAGGTCCACTCCACATCCACTTGTTATTGTTGCTTTTGTGGTTTCTTTGAGGATTTTCACACGTTTGAAGAACACTATTTGTGACTTGAATAAGGTATTCCATAACTGTAAGTCTGCCTTAGCCACATGCACGTCTGAATCTGCACATTCTTCCAGTGGGGTGTATTTTTTTTTTTTTTTTTTT